TAAAAACCTACAAAAGGGAAACAGGGTGAGCAGAGGGAAAGGCCTGGCAAGGGTCAGGCTGGCAGCAGATAATCATCACACAGGAGTGGCAGCACAGCAGGTGATGTGTAATAGCACAGCTTAAATGATACACAAGGATCAGGAAGGGGATTGCAGAAAGGAAGGAGCATCATGCCATAACAGCCAGGGAAAAGCATTTGATAACACTCATAGCACAGAGGAGCAGCTCAGTTTTGCCTCAAAGCCTTCCATGTGACCTGGGTGCAGAGCACAGGGTATGACAGCCAAAAGAAGGTCTGTTTGCCAGACTGGCTGTTTTTATTGCTGCTGAGTGCAATATTGAGTCCTATATTTAAAGCTAATTTTTTTTTTATGTCTCAGGACAAGGGTTAATTCTCCTTCTTTGCCGAAGCCCCCCAACTTTAAAGATCCTTCCCTGTGCTTTAAAATCATCTACCTCCTAAGAAAAAACATCATGCAGTGACAGAGAATGTGACAGAGAAACCATTAGAATTATTTTATATCTTTACTGATTACAAAACAAAGCAGATGGCAAATCAAGTCATGAACTCTGCATCTGCTATGCTTAATGAACAGTTTAATTACCTACTCCCATCTCTGATGCATCTCTGCCATTCTCAGCTCTAGAAGTCACTTACATACTTCCCACTGACTACGGTAAAGATATCACCAGGAACATGTCTATGAACAGTCTGCTGGAGTCGGTTAATCAATACTTGTTTGATCCCTAACTTTGATGGTGATGACCTAAATTATGTCTCAATGGAAAGAGATTTCCTATCAGATCACATGATCTGGTTGAAAGCTCAGAAAACAAAATGAAATTTTTCAGCCTCTTCTCCAGGCAGTGGAGTACTTAAAGGCAGATAAATGCACAGAGGGGAAATAAATACAGCAAAACCCCAACATCTAGTGCAATCAGATTAATTAATTCATTCACTGCATTATTTTAAAGCAAGGAATGCAATAAGTTACAAGAAGTAACTGAAATTCGGCTTCATATTTTGAGTTCTTGTATATACAAACAGGCAAGAGCTTCCAGAGACACAGCTACAAGCAGAAAGGGCATTTGGTCTCTGCTAAAATCTGCTGCATGTTCTACAGGCTGTGCCTGTTCACTCTGCAGCTCCATGCAGTTATGTCCACAAGTTCTGTGCACAGAAGTAACTTTTTTAAGATGTCACTGAACTGTACACATGCAGGAGAAGGGGCTGGCAGGTCTAAACAGAAACAGCAGCTAAATAACAAATATAGCAAAAAGCTGATCGAGGCCAGGTTACATCACATGAGGAGAGGTGGAGGTGAAAACCCTGTGAAGATCCATGAAAGTCATGTTTTGGCCCTCCACATCAGAAGGCTTTGGGAACCATTCAACATGCTCTTATTGTTTTTGTCCAACCTCACGTCTCCTGCACAAGGTCCACTTGCGCCTCCCAAAACAAACAGACCAGAGCTTTCTTTCCAATAGTGCCTCAATCAGCTGCTTGCACTCAGATAAGGATTTTCAGAAGGGGGTTTTCATCTTGGGAGACCTATATGTCATGAAAAATTTCCTAAGAGATTCAAATTTTAGCAATTCAGTAGCAGAATTGACTGTTTATAATAAGCCTACTTTATAAACAAAGACCAGAACTTGTGTGCAAAGCACTTAGAAAAGAGAAATACTCACAAGATTAAAGACAACACAAGTCAAATACAGAGCTGTGTAGGTAAACATGGCATTCAAAGTAAATCAAACAGGAAAAAGGGCAGAGAGGGACTAGGTCTTTACCCCTCATTTCAGATATCTCCCACTACTGCTGTATTGGAACTACCTCAAGTAATAAAGCAAAGATTAAAGACTTCCCTAAAACTCTGAGCAAAGCCAAAGCAAAGAGACAGCAGAACAGACAGTGAATCCAGCCAAGTGGATTTCTAACACAGTAAGTGAATACATCCCTTCAAACATCAGTTTCTTTTTCATCACCTTAAATGAATAGAGAGACATTCCAGAAGATCCCTTCAAGCACTGCCCTGATCTACAAGAACATATGGGGGAAAGTGATCAACTAACATGTTCTGAACAGCAGTTTGTCAACAGGAATAATCAGGACACAAATCCTCTGCCAGTCCCCTGTTAAGAGGAGAAATCAACTGGGCTGGACCACTGTACTAGAATGGCAAAGATTGGAGAATGCTGCTCCTCAAGTCTGCCAGGGAAGACAGATTTGCAGTGACTCACCAAAGTATGCTAAAGTGACAATTGTGCCAATTCCAAAGAGTAAACCAACTGGAAAGGCAGGAGTAAGGTCAAGGAAGCCCAAAAGAAGTAAATGAGGCGAGGAAGCAAGCAATGGAGGGAGAAGTTAAATGCACTGAAATGGAAATACAAGAGCAACCAAGAAAGAGAGAGACTGTGGCAAGTAGAAAATGAACAAGACTGAACAAGTGAGGCAGGCAATCTGTGAAAGCCAAAAATTATTGCTTGAATCTCGAGGAAAAAAATCAATAGCCATAAAAGTAAGCTGAGAAGGAATCAGATTGGCAAAGCAAGTACCTCCTGAAGAGAGTATGTTTACTACTATATTAGGTACTGCTGTTATCAAATGAAGAACAGTTTATCATTTTCTATTGATCTTTTATAACATATTCAAGACCTAAGACTTCCAAGTTACAGCTTGAGCCCAAAGAGAGGATGCCTATTACTGCATTACACTCGCACTGTTAAACATGTCTGATGCCTTTCAGTCCTTATTTGCTCAGCATGCAGGACCAGATTCACTGCCCTACGAGAGGGTCAGATATACACAAATACAAAAATTATACTATCAAAAGCAATAGCAATTCAATTATATATATATATAACAGTCTTCCCCAAATTAGATTTTCACCATCCTATTTAACAAGACAATGATTCAGTAGAGAGCTCATCTTATCCACTCTCAGATTACACAGAAGCACACAGTAGTACTGACGCCACTAATTAGATGATTAAATACACATTCTAGGTGAAATGCTTTCAATGTAAAATAATTATTTTTAACAGGCAATATATTTGCTCAATCTTGGTTTAAATCACAATATCATACTTCTTTAATTAAATGAAGTTACTTCTTCTGATCTCGCATGAGAAGAGCAACCAGCAGGAGAAAGAGTGCCATGAATAGATTGTCCAAGTGTCACAATGCATGTACTTCTTCACAAAGGACTCCTAGCATTCTCTGGAAGGAATATAAATTTTCAGAGAACAGCCAAGTCTTTAATCCTTTAAAACAAGTCAGTTGAGGAACCATTCAGCACACAAAAAACTTCCACTGTCAAAATACAAGTTTATTTACCATGATGCAATGAAGGACTTTTCCAACTTTTCCTCTGTATCCCTTCAGGGGGAGGATAAACAGAGCAGCAAATGAAGGAAGGGCTCTATCTTTCTATATAAATTAGGGTACAACCCATCACATAACAAACTACCGATGTCTTTTCATCCAGTACTTAAAGAAAAGTAATTATATTTTGTGTTCTTCAGCAAAACAGGTTTCTGCTGAGGACTGGGAATAAGTTAACAAAGGGAATATTTTAGAAACCATCTGAGAAACTCTCTTCAGACTTGAGCATCCCAGTGCAATGCTAGATAGCTGAGAAGGCTGTAAAGGAAGGATTTTTGTCAGGTTCATTGTCTACCTGTGACATATCCAGCCATGCCAGTACCAAAGTAGAGCAGGATGGAGGGCTGTCTGCTGCTGGGGGTGTTAGGAAGACTGAGGAAAAGAGATGTCTTTTCCCTTTCCATGGAGTGGATTTGGTCCATCCACCCTGACTGCAGTGCCTGCCTCCATGTGAAGCAGAAGGAACTGCTGTCATTTTTCTCTTATGTGACTCTCCACGGCATGAAATTCTGCAGGCAGAAGATCTAATAGAATATCCTCCTGTGAAGTGGTTGCTGCGTGCTTCAAGAAGCCCTGCGTAAGGCACCATATGTCACAGCCTCTTGGCTCAACGATGACACAGAATTGCACAGAACTCGGCGCAGCACAATTCAAACCAATCCAAATGCTTTAGTTGATGCTGAAAATTAAAGCCTAAAGCACAAGGAACAGGACAGCTCCTTTCTCCCTTGCTCAGACACTTCCATACCAGCATTCCGCCTTCCCATCCACAGTGGTGTGCCTGGCTCCCTGTCACAGGTTCTAACTAGTTGAGTCTGACCTTATGCACACACACCAGCTTCTGTACGTGAGCAGCTTTATAATGTCAGAGAGATTGCTCAGATGAGTGAAGTTTTGTAAGGAGTATTCTTGGAAAGTGAAGTAACCATCATTCTGACTATAGAGAACTATTATTCCCTTTGGGGAAAAAGCACACTCAGAATTTAATATAAAGTTTTCAGTGCTCTACAGACTTCAAAATTATTGTATAGAATTCACCACAAGAGCATACCTGACACAGGATAATGCAGACTTCTTTGATATATCCTATAGAAAGAATCTTAAGATGTATTTTCAATTTACTGGTCTAGTGCCTACCATTACATTTGAACAGACTTTCAGTGTAAGAGGAAGGCGAATCTCTTACTCTCTGTAAATTGTTTTTCCCCAGGAACAGTTGACAAGGTGCCGTCATTTCATTCTCCTCAGGAAAGGAGGCGACGCAGCCACAGCCATTATAAATTCCCTTCAGTGGCTGAAAACACTCAAGTGACAACATGATTCAATTCCCTGCCCTCACACAAATGCCAAGCCTGAGACAAAGTCACATACTGCCAATATAGCATGAGCCCAGACAGGGAGAACTTTAGCAAGGCCTGAGAATATCCTCATACTTCTGTTCTAACACAGCCCTAGAGACAAGCTTCTTGTCTCCTACAGAACCTGCTTGGCAAAGACTTCATAGCAACTTTGCAGCACCAGTCATGGAGGTGAACGAAGAAGAAATAGCAAGAACTACACCTGAAGGAAAGAAATAAGGACACAGACTCTTCCAAACATTATCTGGAAACTCACCTTGGTGAGCAGGAGCACACGTTTCTGCAGCCGTCTGACCAGCGCCTCATGCTGCTCACGCTTCTTCTTCTCATCCAAGAGCTGGCTCTGAATCCGCAGTATTTCTTCCTGTAAATGCTGTCGGGCCTTCTCCAGTGCTCGGGCACTAAGAAAGATAAAACAGACCTGTGACATTGTGGCCCCTGCCTCTTAGTCAGACAGATCAGAAAAACTTGAGAGAAGCAGCATCATCATGATACCAGGACACTGGTGACATTTCATCTTACAGCTGCACCGCTGGAAACCGAGGAGTTGCAGTCTCATTATCAGGTGTTCTCAGAAAAAGACAGGAGAGAAGAGCCATCCCAGTGACAGCCTTCTTGTTCAGCACATGGCAATTACAATCATGGAACCTCAGAAATACAAAGCATTGAAATTGCTGCAAATCTACTTCAAAATCAATCCATTTGCCTTTGAGAAGATGCCTTATTTTCAACAAATTATGCACAATCTTGGGTTCAACTGCATCTTTTAATCTTATTCTAACAAAGTAGAAGTAAAAGGGAAGTTTAATATCATCTGCTTTGACAGACAGATAATACTCAGCAAGTAATTATAGTCACCACCTGCACACTGCTCTTTCCAGCAACCTATATTGGAAGAGAAATGTCTTCTGAGGCCAGGTGATTAGCACTTCTTTTGCAATGTGGACATGATTCTTAATTAAGCCTGAATAGCTTAGTCCCTCTTCTTAGCTCTCTTTGCAGCATGATATGATGACGCACAATGTATTCCTGGAGATGTTCTTGATGTACATCCTTCAGGCAGTCAGTCTGCTGCTGGAACCCTAGTGGGCAGCTGCTTCAATGCACTCAGCAAGCAGCTCATCACAGATCAAGTATTGCTGGCCAAATATTTGATCAATATCAAAATACGTGAAATCATTATTGTGATGGTTAAGAGTAATTTAACAATGACAAGTTCATCCAAGACTGTACTAACTTAAGTATTTAAAGAATGAGCAGCACATGAAAAATAATATAGCTCCAAGTCAAAAGCCCTGAAGCTAGAAAGATCAAACCCAACATCTCTAGTTTAGGCAGGAATAGAAGATCTTTGCTTCTCTGATGCTAAAAACAATACTAGGAAATGTACATGTGCTTCAGAAAGGTACTGTTTATCATTATAATTAAAATAAAATAAATCAAAATGCTTTTAAATAAAATAGCACTGCTATTAAGGTAATGTTAAATAGATTTGAAAGGGAACACTGCCTTAAAAACACCAAGCATAAAATCAAGTACATCCTGCACTGCCAGGCCAAGAAGCTGCACTTCTTGGGAAATTTATGTAGGAATTCAAAAAGATCCCCAAGCAACTGTCTTCCTACCTCAAAATCCTCCTCCTTGAAGAAAAACATGCATTTTAAAATGCTGGATGAATTGGAAGCCTGCTTAAAGCTCCAGTTCAATTTGGAACCATTCACAGACCAATTTAATAATCAGGGATTGTGAAATAGTCTCTTCGTTGTTGTATTCAGGTGGGAAAGTTCATCAAGAGGGCTTCAAATCTGCATTTGAAAATGGATAATTTCATTATCAGGGCAAGACTACTTCCTTGGTTCTGTTTTAATTAATCAGTTAAAAAGGGAACCTGTGCCCAAGAGTAGTATCTATGGTGATGAAGCATGAAGCAGCACCAGCCTTACACTGGATGCTCCCTTCCCCATCCCAGAAACCTCACTGCAAATATTGTTTGCTCTACCAAAGAAACTTAGTCCTGATGAGAGTCAGAACAGAAGAAAAAATTCAAACCTAAGATTAAATACTAGAAAACAGCCAGAATCTCACATTTGATTATTGAAAAACATTTTGATAGGACAATGGAGAAATATTTTCTTTCCTAATCTCCCAATATATTGACCTGTTTCTATAAATGCTGAGTGGACTGATGGTTTGTGATTGAGCTGATATTGACAAATTAAAATGAGACATGCACCAGGTTTCCTTCTTGAAATAATGAAAAATATTTGAGATTCACATCTCACGGAGAGCACAGACTCACCGACACCTCTCAAACTAGGTTGGAAAACAACTGTTTTAGATAATGAGGAAAGTTAAGCAAAGACAGACAAATGGGCAATCTCCTCAGCCACTACATAGTGTTTGGGAAGAACATAATCATCTGTTTGTATTTCAGCCTTGAATAAAATGTGATGTTTATGTACATAAAGTATAAATGTCAGAGATGTCTATGAAAAAAGATAATACTTGAACTCTCAGAACTGACTCTGCTACCACAGGTTTCTTTGCCATAGCAAGCATGAAATTCAACTTCCTTACAACTCTTCACACCATGCCAAAGCAAATCATTGAGATCCTTTCTTCCTGTCTTAGGACAGACTGATAACTATTCTAGAAACCACATTAAATACAATATAAACTGCCTCTATAAGAAAAAAGAAAAAGAAAAAATCCAGAAAGAAAGTTCTATTCCTTATTGACCTAAAACAGGATTTGAAAGCAGATGCCCAGCAGCAAATGCTGTTGAAGTGGGACAGAGGCACTCTTCTTCCTCACTGATGACACCTATGGCTTTTCAAAAGTACTTGGTCACTCAAAACAAGCATTAACAAAAACAAAACAAAATAGGCCCAAACTTCTCATTTCAACAGAAGTTTGGAGAACTGGCATTTTTAAAAATCTCTGCAAGCTCAAAGAAAACCTACTAAGCCTCAAAGAGAAAAACTAATTTCTGTTTATCAGCCTATTAATGTTCCTTGTTCCACATCCCAGGGAATGAGATGACAACATCTTTCTGTTCTGAGCTGTTGAGACTCTTCATATTTGGTTCTTCCCTTCTGTAATCAACTTTAATGTTATCTTAATGATAAAAAGTCATTTTCCAGAATGTTCTTTGAAAGACTGAGAACAATGACTGCAGAGTGAATACTGAAGCTGTATGATACATTTTAATAACCTCCTTCAAAAAATTACAAAAGCAGCTGACAGCTTTTCTCTCCCCACCCTCAATGATCTGTAAAACATAATTTTAATCATTCCACCCTTTTCAGTAGCCAAGTTACCACCTCCAAGATGCTAAAAAAAACTACAGGGAAAGCAAACAGGATGCAAGAACCACTCTGTATATCAACTTGAGAGGAAAAAATGAGGTCCACAGCAGCACAGAGACAATTAGAAGAGCAACACTTTCTGGGTCATGTTGCAACTCAGAAAAAGATGAGACACTTGCACATACCAGGGCCAACTGTCAGAAATGAGGATCACATCAAAGAGAAAGCACCAAAAACAAGGGAGTGTGGATGGGAAGAACAGTGAAGATGTACAGAGGGAAAACGCGATGACAGTGTTATTGCACAAATATAACAGGGAAAAAAAGGAAGACACTGCAACTATCAACAACTTCATGACAGAGTCCAAAATAAAAAGGTTAGCACACAAGCTAATGAGGCAAAAAGGAACAAGGGAAATTGTTTTGCAGCAAGACGTTTGGATGAAGAAAAGCACACCCATTCCTGAGGCTTGACAACTGGCAGCCTTTTCAACATACCTACACATTTTTAGACACAAAGACATAAACCACACTGGAAACTGATGAACAGAGAGCTTGAACAAGAATGTTATTTTTCATTCCAGTTCTTCTCCTCCAGGTTTTATAAGTCAACATGAAGGCAAAAGCAGCAACAGAGTAACTCCAGCATGTCTTCATATTGTCCAGCGGATAGCAGCTGAGTGTCCCTGTCTGTGCCCTCCCTCAAGGCTCCTCCCAACCTCCAATTTCAGGCATAGACCTCCCCCCTCAGCCTATGCCTAACCTGCCTCCATCATTTGAGTCAGGAATTAAAATGAAAAAACAGAAGGGAGAAGATGCTGACAAAATCATATGACTTAAAAAGGGACAGGACACAGGAAAGAAAAGGGGGTGCTAGGTAAAACAGAAAAATTTCCATCTTACATTAAAATGGAAAACAACTGATCCAATATAAAATGCTGCTGGAAAGACAGATGGGAGCTTTGAGACCTCTGCTGCAGAGAGTAATAAATTTGAGGCAGGTAAACTGGAAAAACAAACATCAGAAAGGAGGAAATTATCTTAATGCAACAAGCATTTCAGCTCAAACGTCAGAGGTTTGGATGCTAACTTTTATTAAAATAAGATTGCTTGGCATCTTACTCTGCTTTTTTTCTCCTTCACATACAGAGCTGGGAATACCCTGAAGCAGCAGCATCCAGTCCTGCTCTCAAACACAACACAAGTGGGAACTGTGGAGACCAACATTTCCATGTTGTTAATTGCCTCCTACATTCAGGAGCCATGATACAAAATATTAACATCTTTAGTAGAAGTTATCACACGTATTTTCTATCAAGCTTCACCTGTGCCCTATAGATAGGCTTATGAAATACAGCTACAGAAAATACTACACAAAGCAGTCCACAGAGAGGCAGTAGGAAAACAAGATTATTTTTTTTTTCCCCTTGCTACTTATTTCTCTCAAGTCTTCAGCAAACATCTGCAAACCTTCTCTTGGTTCACACTTTGTATTTTCTCAAAGACCCTTACGTAACTCACCATCATCAGGCTCCCATTAATCACAAATCATATGAAAATAAGCAGTTCATTCATCACTTTGGTGCTCTACATACAAGGAAGACTTGAATAATAATGAATTCCTAATGAGGGAACAACATAAAGAGAATGATTTTGCTAGTGTGGACAGCTTAAATGAGTAAGAAGCAGACAGCCATTTGGAGCTTTATTACTACACTGACAATATGTTTTATCGTTGAGACAGTATTTAATTTTACTCCCTAACTGGCAACATAAATATCAGGCTCAGAAATGCAGCTCCTTCAAAGTGAACAGTTACAGGACAAAAATGACACAAGTTTAACACCGCAGCTCTGGTAAAATAGACATAATTGACTGGCAGGAGTTTGGATTTACTAAAAGAGATTCACATCATGCATATTCTGCTTTCCTTCATTATGGGGTCAACACACTCACTGCCACACACACAGCTTTGCTGACCACAAAGCCCCAAGGAACCAAACCCAGGAACGTTGCCAAAGCACAAAGGCCAGTGTGGTTCTATCTGAGAGATACTTAATCAGCCTCAGGACAGGAGATACTCTGTCATGCTAA